CTCACCCAGCTCACACACAGACTGACCCAGGATATCACCGGCTGACTGGAAAAGAGATGGCCTGCACAGTACCCCCATGACCCTCCCCTCAGCTTCAGCCAACCCCCTGTTCTTGTCCCCCCACCCCCAGCAGGACCAGATCAGCCAGGAGCCTGATGAGACCACCACGACCTCTGCCACAGCCCCCGCCTTCCCTCCCCCTGGGCTCTAAACAAACCTAACTGCACTGACCTGCTGAGTCCTTGAGTCTTTGCACAGCATTGGCGGCGGGGGCAGGGGTGGGGTCGAGCCCAAGGCAGGGCTGGGTAGGGCAGGGTGAGGCCTGGGACCAGAGCTTGGGAGCATTCCTGATTGGGAGAGGTCGAGGTCTGGGATGGGAGACACATCACACGCATCATACCGGGAAGCACCGTGGGGCGCAGTGGTGAAGGGGCTGGCTGGTAAGTCAAGGTCAGAGGATAAACCCACCAGCTGTGCCCTGGGAAAAGCGTGCAGCCTGCTTCAGCCAGGAGATACTCCGGGGCAATTCTACTCTTACAGGGTGGCTGAGTGGGAATCAGTTCTCCCTGGTAGCAGGTAGATGCACATGATTACACAGGTGGCAGAAATGCTTTGTTCCCAACCTCCAGTTCCACCAGCTGCCCTCACACCAGTGTACCTGCCTTCAATTCTCCGAAAGCCAGGCCTTCTTGCTCAGGGACTTTGCCTCATGCCTCCACCCTGCTCCTAGATTTTCAAGTGCATTCCTTAAACCTCTTGTGTTAGCTCCTTTCTCTGCAGGAATCATCCGCTGCCGCCCTGCGGTCAGCTCTGACTCATAGTGACCCAGAGGGCAGAGTGAGACAGTAGGATTCCCATGCTGTCAATGGCTGTGGGAAGAGATGTCCACATCAGCTTTTGAACTGCTGACCTTGCAGTTAGCAGCCTAACCTTAACCCACCACACCACCAAGAGTGTTAGTTGGTTTCAGGTGCCATCTAGTCAGCTCCAACCCACAGCGACCCTAAGCACAACAGAAGGAAACAAGGGCAGGTCCTGCATCAGCCTCACAATCGTTCGTATGCCTGAGCTCACTGTTGCAGCCACGGTATCAACCCATCTCCTTGAGGACCTTCCTCTTTCACTGCCTCTACTTTATTTGGCATGACCACTCCAGGGAGTGGTCTCTCCTGACAACGTGACCAAAATGCATGAGATGAAGTCTTATCATCCTTGCCTCTGAGCAGCATTCTGGGTAGACTTGTCCCCAAGCAGATGTGTTCGTTCTCTTGGCAATCTCTGGTAGTTTTCAATATTCTTCTCCAGCACCACAATGCAAACACATCGACTCCTCTTCCATCTTATTCAATGTTCAACTCTCACCTACATAGGATGCAGTGTGGGTCAGGTGCAGGAGACTTGGGGCTCTGTGAATTTATGTGTTAAGCTGCAAATCACAAGATTAGCAGTTTGAAACCAGCAGCCACTTCCCAGAGGAAAGAAGAGGCTTTCTACTCCTGTCAAGTTACAAGTCCCAAGAACCCACAGGCGCAGCCCTACCCTGCCCCATGACTCAGAATGAACTCAATGGCATTGAGTTTGGGGTCAGGTAGACCCTAGTCCTCAAAGTAGTCTTGCTTTTCAACACTTTCAAGAGGACTTGTGCAGCAGATTGACCCGGTGCAATTGTTTGATCTTTGGATTGCGGCTTCCATGATGGTGGATCCAAAGCAGGATGAAAGCCTCCACCACTTTAATCTTTCCTCCATTCATCCCACTAGACCACTAGCCCCATTGTACGTACAGACATGGTACGAAGTGCATCGAGACCAAATCAGCTGTCCATGCTCTTGGTCATGACAGGGGCCTTCTGGCCCAGGCCCACCCCACTACAGAAAACAAAGCATACAGATTAAGCACAATCAATTCACGCGACCCAATGGGAAGGAGAACCTGCCCCATAGAGTTTGGGTGGGATTGTCATAGTTTAAAAACAAAACAAAAAAAATTTTATTTTTTTTAATTGAGGGAAGGTTTACAGAGCAAATTAGTTTCCGTTTGAAGTTTGATCTTTATGCAAGGCCCCCAGAGCCACTGGGTGGGTGGGTTTTAACCATTGGTATCTAAGTGCTGAACCGTTGTGCCACCGGCGCACCTTCAAGCGTGGAGTCAGAGTTTCATAAAAGTCCAAGAGCTCAATTTCAGTTCACCCTTTCTATTGGAAAT